CATGGCACAAAAAAAAGATTCACTGAAGCTGGTCTGCCCGCTCAACAATGCGGTAGAACCACCTGCTGAGAAACCAGCCTATAACATCGGGGTTGAACAACCAAAGATCATCCTGATGAGCTATAGCGATACGGTAGTAAAAGCCTGCACCCAGGGTACAGTGACAACCGTGATGCGGAATGAAGATGGAAAGTGGGAAGTCATGTTTAACAGCAGTGATTACTATTTTTATTATTCGGGGATCACCAAAGTGAAGGTGGCACGTGGGCAAAAAGTGAAAACCGGTGACATGTTGGGTATTCTCAAACCGGGAGAGAAGATTGAATTGATGGTGTATGATTTTGAAACGCCGGTGGAACCGAGAAAGTATTTGTCGTGCGGAAAAGAATGAGAGGGAAGAGTGAAGAGTGGAGAGTGAAGAATGGAGAGCGGAGCCCACCTACGCTAAAAGCTTCGGTGGACGAGGAAAGAGAGTGGAGAGTGAAGAATGAAGAGGGGAATCTCGTTTTATCAGAGGGTGATTGCCGCGTAGGGGCGGCCTGTTTGTGGAGGCGGGCAACACCTCAGGCGATTTTGATTGGTGTGGTGAGGCGAACGAGAGGGAGAAAAAAGAAAGAGAAACAGAAACAGAAAGAGAAGGAGAAAATGAACCCATTTGAAAAAATATACCTGTACAGGCGCGTGGTAAAGGCGAAATTATTTATCGACGCTCACTTCTCGGATAAGATCGATCTTGATAATATCGCGAGCCAGGCAAATTTTTCAAAGTTTCATTTCATCCGCCTTTTCAAATCTATATACGGCCACACTCCTAAAAATTATCTCATTCGAATAAGAATGGAAAAGGCAAGGCTATATCTCGAGCAGGGTTATACCGTTATGGAAACAGGCTTAATGATCGGCCTTGAAAGCCCCACTTCATTTGCAAATATGTTTAAGAAAATAGAAGGCCAGTCACCCGCCCTTTTTCAAAAAAAGCAAAAACAGAAATTGGCTGAAATGAAATCCACTCCCTTGCGTTTTGTTCCCAATTGCTTCGCCGAAACTTATGGTTGGACATAATCGCAATTTCGAAGAGGTATGCAATTCTCACCACCGTTATCTTTATTGCAAATAATAAAACATGATCTCGAAAATCACGCACACCTGTATCTATGTACTTAACCAGGATAGTGCCTACGACTTTTATGTAAATAGGTTAGGGTTTAAAGTGCACACTGATGCGCCAATGGGTGAGGGTGCCAGGTGGCTAACCGTCACGCCACCCGATCAGCCAGACCTCGAAATCACCTTATTTCTCGTAGCCGAAGGACCAATGTTTGACAAGGATACCGCTGAAACAATGAAGGCACTGGTCAGAAAAGGAACATTTGGTGCCGCAGTATTCACCTGTAAAGACATACTCGCTACGTACGAGGAATTAAAAGCAAAAGGTGTCGAATTTAAGAAACCGCCAACGAAAGAGTTTTATGGGTATGAAGCGTTGTTCAAAGACGATTCCGGTAACTGGTTTTCACTGGCACAGATAAACTCCTGAGCAATGAAATCAATATTCGAAGCATCTTCCCGGCAGGAAATTATAGATAGGATAAAGTCATTGACCGAAGACAGTCCGCAGCAATGGGGCAAGATGACTGTTTCCCAAATGGCGAGGCATTGTGTACTGGCTGATGCCTATTATCTCGGCAGTAAACAAATCGACCGGGTTCTGATAGGAAGGATATTTGGGAAATACGCATTGAAAGGAATTTTGAAAGATGAAC